GCAATCTAAAATGATGTCAATCAATCAGCAATTAACAGAACAAGAGACTAACAAGAGATAGCATTAATCAATCATCCCTATTCAATCAGTCTGACTTCATAGAAAAAAAAAATGAACTAATTAACACCCAAAACATTGATTCAGAAAGAAAACACAATGGCGATAAAAGTAGGGATTCTTCTTCTAAATTCAGCTAGAAAAACGGCTATCCAAGTAAAGTAGACAACAGATTTGTTTTGGTACCGAGAGATACAGAAGTTGGATCAACCTAGTCTCTTTCCTCCCAGCTATAGATGTAGAAAAAATCGACGAGAAAACAAATCTAGCATATAAAACCAGACATGGATGGAGCGGGAAGGAGTATTACCTGATTGAAATATGACCTGAAAACGATCGATGAAGCAAGGTAGTTTTAGACTGTTTCGACTTCGGAGTGTTATCTCTGGATAACAAGAAACTCGTTGAGGAGTGATCAGACAAAAAATAAGCAGGAAATGACCTTCCGATTGCGATCCAAGCGACAAGGCTTGCGAGACTAAGGATTCGGCTAATTTGAGTGGGAAATGAAGGAAATCTTGTTGCTGAGGATGCTTTGCTTTTGCCGAGAAAACGATAGATTGAATGTAGAGGGGTGATTTCCCTCCTGTTGTTCAGTGACGATGAGAGGAAGGCGGTGAGTAGTGTAGAGCTTCAGATTCTCTTTCTCGTCGCCGCTTCTGGTGGTTCAAATGGGGGGAAGACGATGAACAGCGTCGGTTTGCCGATCAGGGCGATATGGTCTGATGGAAGTGAGAGAAAGATGGAAGAGAGAAAAGAAAGAGGAAGATTGAGAGGTAGATGAAGTCTGAGCGGATTTTAGATCTACTGACTGGGTTACTACACGAAGTATCAGAGATTTAAGATCCCAATGGTGTCCTCTTTTTTTGAAAATTTTGATTCTTTTTTTTTAATTTGAATTTTTATTCTTTGATATTTTCCTTCTCTTCTCACTTTTTTTTTATTTTTTTTCTTTTTTTCCTTTTGATTGTATTTCTATTTATGTTGATTTTTTTTTTAATTCCTTCATTATTTATTAACTTGATTTTTCATATATTTGTATTTTCATTTTTTTTGCTTTTTCAATTGCTTATTTTTGGCATTTTATTTTTGGGATTTCAAAAAAATTGTTATTTTACCCCCTTTTTTTACTTTTTATATTTTCTCTCTCTTTTTTTTTTTACTTTTTTTCTCCTTTATAAAAAATTACCCTTTAATTTTTTTACTTTTTATATTTTCCCTCTTCTTTTTTTTTGGCAGCAACGATGAAGGGGCAAACAAAGGCAATTTTTGGTGAAATTTCGTGGGATAGGATTTTTTGGTAATCTAAGGCGATTTGTACCGGGCCTAGATCAGGTAGATTCAGAATCCGGTCAATCTAGAGCCTCGAAATGTAATCTTTGTGTGATCAAGGGTAAATAAAGGTGTTTTGGGATGGAATTTCATATGTATGGGTTTTTTGGTATTCTGGGGTGATTGGAAAAGTTCGATTGGTTTAGATGTGTTCGGATCAAGTGGATATAGGTTATGGGTGCGAGAATGGTCGAAATGGAATCTTTGTTTGATGAATAGGTGAATGAAGGAATCTTGAGTTTAAATTTCATGAGTAGGTATTTTGGGAGGTCCCGAGTCTGATGGTTGTGTCTGATCTAATGGTTAAGGTGTAAGTGAGGGTCGATCGAGGTCATTAGATAGGTATCGGGTAGGTTTATTGGTGGCTTTGAGGGCTTTCAGGATAAAATTTGTTTTTTTTTGGGTTTTTGGGTGTTTCGGAGAAGTTGAAAGGGTCTTATCGGGTGTTTGAGGTGAATTAGAGGCTCATGTAGTGGACCGAAAAAAAATCGGGTGCTAACACCAACCAATTTATCAAGGGAATAAGAGAGTAGGGAATTGGTTCCAAATGAAAGAACCTTCCTACAAACTGGTTAACCTTGCATTCATGAAAATGTATGGGAAAATACATAATGGATGCAGATCCTGAATTTCCACTTCTGTGGAAGAAACTCATATACCAAATAGAAATTATCTCCACTACAACACATCGAAGATTTTGGGTTTGATGGATGTCATTGAACTCCCATTCAAATTTTAAATCCAAAAATATCTAAAAATTCAAGCAAAATATAACCCAAGACACTAAAAAAATTCAATTGTTAATATGCCCAATGAAGAGAACATCAAACCTAGGCACAATACATCTTTCTTATGTTTTAAAATTTATAAATCCTTTGAAGAGGAATATCTTGTGTATTGATTTCTAAGATATGGTTTAATGGGGAAGAACCTCAGGAATTGTCATGAAGGCCTTGCATAAAATGAATTGTAGCAGAGATGGAATCATTGAAGTTTAGCTGATGTTTTTGGGCTTGGAAAATCCAACTCATTGTTTGGTGACATATGGAGAGGACCATTTAAAGCTTCTGTGAACACCCCTTGGCTGCATCGATCATTGTCTCTAAGGGCATAGATACAATCATAGAATAACATTTCATTAGACAACTATTAGAGAGAACAATACTCATACGATTAATACAATTATAACCAGTGGCAAGAAAAGCATAAATTGAAGCTGGTCCTTGATCATCAAACACACTTAACAAAGAAATCCACCACAAAACACTTTACAAACTTTCATCAAGTAAACAAAAACTTCTTTTTTGGTAAAACAAAATAGGCACTTGATACTAATGAAATCAAGTGGTACTATGAGAAATTGTAGTCTTAGTGGTCTTCTATGTTGGGAAATTAGGTATACCATAAAATTGAGAGTGTTACTCATTACAAATTATAACGTTAGGCTACTACCAAATTAATAGCCACTATGTAACATACAACACAACTATAGTAGACTCTTAGACCAAATTACATAGAACTAGACCTACTTGAAGATGAACCCAATAAACAACCTAACAAATATGCAATATCCATTTTACTTGATTAGTAAATCATCTAAAGAGTAATATACAATCTCCAAGAACTACTTTGAACATGCTGTTTGCCGATTGATATATAAAGATATAGATCTCATAAAGGAAACAATATGAAAAGTCTAGTCATATAATTAAAATGTTGATGCAGTGAGTATATCTCGAGAAATCAATCTTATGCCCTCAATCTTAAACATGGATCCATGTTTCACCAACAAAAGGTGGGGTAGTGTTTAAAGGAAAAAATAGCACAAGAATTCATACATAAAGCTATTAGATTTATTTGGAGTATAAAAAATCAACGCCCCACAAGGGGCCCCTACAAATGCTCCACAACACATTTTGACCTTGTATTTGGGAATAACACCTGATGATGTCTAATCATCTCCCATACTTATCATTGAGAGATGTTCCCAATACAAGATCGGGATGTGCTGTGGGGCATTGTGGGGCGCCCCTTGGTGGGGCGCTGATGTGAACTTGAAAATAAAGAAGTGAGAACTGCGAATCTTGATCACTTGATCATTATTTTTAAGCTAAAAATTGGTCAACCAAAACAGAGCATGGACTACTATTTCAAGCAAAAAGAATGATCAACGAAAATAAAACGATGTCATACCTTGAACAAAGAGTGTGCACTTCATGTGTATTCTCTTATAGCTTATTATGAAATTAGAGAAACTAAATTACACTCAGCAAAATCATAAGCCTAGGAATGGCTTAAATCAACCTAAAAATTGGACAACTAGCAACTAAGAAATAATAACAATGACTCCATATAAGACATGCAAACAGCTAAATGAAAATCAAAGTAAAATTAATTTTTTGGTTCATTAGAAAAAAAAAGAGAAACAAAGAAAAATGACTTGCAAAAATTGAATCTAAATTTAAGTATACAAAATTTTCCCTTTTTCCTCATCTCCTAAAAATTCTCTCTCCTCTTCCCTCTTTTCACTTTGTCAACATTGTTTCTAAGCCCATTTACCCTTGGCATCTTTTTAGGAATCTGTTGTTATTACATGCAAGCCTATGAAATGATATTTTTAATATAACAATATTAACAAATTTTATCAATAATAGTTTTAATAATAGTAAGTAATTATACTATTTAATTAAGTAATCATTAATGATAGTTTTAATACTTTTATTTAGTTATTTTATTATAATAATAAATATTAAATTTATGAATAGGATTTATTAACAATATTCATTAAATTAATAATTAGCAAAATTAAATTAAATTAAATTAACAGTATTTATCAGTAATAGTCAGTAGTTATAATATTTTATTAAATAAGAAATAACAATACTTTTAATAACATTTATTATTATTTTTAAAAGAACAATAATTACTAAATTTATTAACAGTATTTATTAATAACAATATTTATAATTTTAATTTAAAGTAAAATTAAAGTAAATATCTATTTTTACAATAACAATAATTATTAATTATAACCACTAATTATATATTTATTAAATTACTGTAATAATCAGTAATTTACTAACAGTATTTTTTAATAACAGTATTTATAAATTTAAAGTAAATATCTAGTTTTTAACAATATTTATAATACCAGTAATTTTTAATTATAATCACTAATTATATATTTATTAAATTACTGTAATAATCATTAATTATTAAATTACAATAATTAATTACTGTAATCAGTAGATTCCATTAATAACTGTAATTATTAATTATAATAACTGTCATTATATACTTATTAAATTAATAACTGTAATTATTAATTACATACTTATTAAATTAATAACTGTAATTTAATAACAGTAATTATTAATTATAATCACTAATTGTATACTTATTAAATTAACATGGGTTAAAATAAATTATAATCACTAATTATATACTGCCATGTGGCGAAAGGGGAGACCACCCCAATCGTATTAATATATATATGAGATATGAGATGATATGATATATGATGATATGTATCACGAATTTTCCCGTACATCGCAGGGAACCCACTAATTTTCCATATATCGTGACGGTGTTCCAAAATTGCAAACACGGTTCGATGTGCAACGAAATCTTAAAACCTTGCGGGTTTCGTCGAGTATAAAACCACCCTTGAGTACCCTCCATGGCTCCATCGTTCGTCCCAACTAAGTTTGCCGATACTGCGACCCGGTTCGTTAGGTGCGTGTGCGCTCACGTTCAACACTCAATTGCTTTGCATCGCTTCGTTGCACCATACCAGACTCGTTTCGCCTCTAGGGTTCGAAGTCTGGGAGTGATAGGAATTTGTAAGGAACCCAAGGTCACCGTGTACACGTTCCTTCCGAAGAAAGGTTTATTTCGAAACCTGAATTAAAATTTAGCATTTTCTAAAATTCTCTGTGCATCCTGAATTTGGGTTTGGGATCTCGAACAAAGAGAATCAATTTTATCCTATTAGAGTTTTACATCCTCCATGGACTTGAGATTGCAAAACTCCTCTTAATATTCAAAGCCCTAAAAGTTCGGTAAAAGTTTTCACCTGTGGGTTGTCTTTATCTGATCTAAAATTTATGTATTGATTATGTGGTATCATTTGAGTCTTGTTATAAGAATAGGGTTCGTTCGGAACTTTTGGTTTCACGAGAGGATTTTGAATTGGACCATTCGCTTGTGACTTGCGAGCCCTACTACCTTTTTCATGCTATTTGACGAACTTGATTTTGGTTTTGTTGTTAACCATACCTTTCAATTAGAAACATCCTGAAATCTTGGAACATGTAATTTCAGGAGAATTGCTGATAACAGGAGATGGGTGGTCATGGAGGTCTTAACATTCTCCCTCAGAAGCGCTGGAATGTTTACAACTACGAAAACAGAGAGAAAGTGCGGCGAGATGAAGAAGCTGCGGCAAGAGAGGAGCAGCTTAAGCGAGAACAGTCCAGAAAGCGAGACGCTGAATTCCGCCTTGAGATGCTCAGGCGTGCTCGTGGTTTACCTACTGCTGGCCAAAGCACTGCATCTGCTGCATCGGAACCCAAGTCGAATCACATTAATCTCTTTGAAGGCCTGGAATTTTTTTCTCCTCTTGGTGGTGAGGCAGAAGAAAATGACGATCCTCAAAGGGAGAGTTCCAGGAAAAAGAAGAAGCAGAAGCAGGCGGCGGCAACCCCCAAAGTAATCCTTCCGGAAGATGAGAAGTACAGGCTAGGATATGGGGTTGCAGGAAAAGGTGTCAAAGCACCATGGTACATGTCGAGGTTATCTGACAATACAGATACTGAACCTTCTGGAGCTTCTGCTCCATCTGGATCGCGAAAGCAGGACGGGAATGACAAGCCTGGGAAGAAGACATTGGAAGAGCTGAGGGAAGAGCGTCTGAAGAGAGAGAAGAGAGAGAAGGAGAGAGAACGTGCTCTTGTGCTAGAAAACAGTAGAAGAGATGGAGCTATTACAAAGGTCAGAGGGTTTTCTAGGTAATGTATTATAATTATGATTATGATTACCATTACCATTATCATTATTTGAATAACTTATAAAACTTAATTTATCTATGTATTTGTCATTATCTGAGGTGGCCTATTTAATGCAGGCATGGGCTGTAACTTGAGGGTGTGGCAAGAAGGTACCGTTTCATTCAACAGATTAATCTGCTCTTCAAGGGGAACCTGCATGACTAATAGAAGTAAGTTCTATTGAAGTTTTATGTTATACTCAATTTGATCTAGGTGAAGCATTTTTCTGTATGGTTATCTGGTGACTCTCCAGATTTTTTCTCACTACTCTTGAACAGTATTAAGGCATTCAAATAACCACATTTTCTGAGTGGTTTTCTATGTTGTTCAATAGGGTCCTAATGTATGCCTTAATGCTGAGCATTGAGTTGTGCGGACTTGAGAAATGACTTGGTTGTTTCTGGCACAAGTTTAACTAATATTAATAACATAACCAGTCTGCTATTTCTAAGGCTGTGTTTGGAACCGATGTAAAACGTCATCGGTGTAAAAGTGCATTGATGATGTTTTAAATAGATGGAGTTTTACATTATTTCCACTCCATCCAAACGTATGAAAAACTGAACCAGAGTGGAGTTTTATGTCGATCTTGATTTACACTCTTTCCAAATGCCGACAAAATCAAACCGGCTTAAATATTTACGTCGATATTGATTTACATCGCTTCCAAACGCAGCCTAAGGGTTCTATACTAGGGCATTGAACAAGTCAGTTTGGGATTGATCTGGACCAAATCCGTATTCATATATTTTTTTGATCAGCAAAGAAAGATTAATTTTATTAATTTAAGAGAGAACTGGATACATATTACTACCAGCAGAAAAACAGTCAGTATTACACAATGTTTTACAATGATGCCCAGAAAAGTTGCTGCCTGTAAACTCCTTGTTTTGCTAGCGAATCAGCCATCCCATTTGCAGTCCTTCTGATCCATGTGAAAGAAGCATTGAGTTCCCTTCATCCCTTGTTAAGCTTTCAATCTCTCACAAGGAATGTTTATAATTCCAAGGAGCATTACCCTTGGTGTTAGACAAAGAGATACCCAGTTTTGAGTTCCCTTCAGCAATGATGTTTTTAAAACCTGATTGTTTGGCTAGTTTGAACCCCTGAAGAAGCAGTGATTTAAAGGGTGTGCCTGAGGCACACCTAGGTGCGCAGGAGAGGCACATACCCTGAAATGCGCCTTGCCTAGGTCCTAGGTGCAGCCCTTTCAAAATAATGATTTTATAGTTTTAATTGCTTTTTAAGAAGACACTTTATTAGACTGATAAAAAAAATAAGACACTTTATTAGGATGAATGAATGAACAACATTACCAAAGTGGGGTTCTACTCACTGGCTTCATTCATTCATCCTAATAAAGTGTCTTCTTGAAAAGCAATTAAAACTATAAAATCATTATTTTTTGGGGGAAAACTAAGAATCTATGACCTAACGTTGACTTATTTGGGCTTGCCTCAAGGGGCATTGGCACAAAGGTGGCTCATAGAATAAGGAATGTAATATTTTTACATTACATTAGCTACTTGAAGTAGCTAATGTTTGATTTTATTTTTAAATTCTCATTTGAATCTGCTTTACATCTTATGTTTATGTATTTTAATTTTAGATAATAGGTTTTTTAAAGCATTATTTTAAAATTTAAGATTTTATTTTTTATTAATATTATGTTTAATATTTTTTATTTATTTTTTTAATTTTTTTGGCTTTTTTTTTGAATTTTTTGACATTTTTTTTGATTTTAATTTTTTTGTATTTTTGCGTCTTGCTTCAAAAAGATGCACGCCTTGCCTTGCGCCTCATGCGCAAATTGACCCTTGCCCCTTTTTTATGCCTTGCGCTTTTAAAACACTGTGAAGAAGTCCTAGTAGCTCAGCCTTTCTCGAACCCTCATAGGCCCTAAATACATAGCCAACACTTTCTTTGCTGAGTCTCTGAACACACCCCCAATGCCTGCCAATCCTGGGTTTCCTATCCCATCAAAATTCAATTTTAATCTGTCTGGAGCTGGGGCTTCCATTCCATCCCCATTTTTCTTTCTTCTTAGAGGAATAAGCCACTTCTCTCCAAGCCCACATTATATCAGCTATTGAGAAGCTTTGAAAAAGCTCAAAGTGTTTTTACCCAATGTGCAATTTTTATTTTTATGGTTTCCACCAGTTCTTTTGATTTGCACTTTCCATTGAATATTCTTGCATTCCTTTCCGCCCAAATAGTCCACACCACAGTCTCCCTAATTGATTTCCACATTGTCCATCCCCTTTTTATTGGCTGCTTTAGAAAATTTGGGTTGAAGAGGCTCACTAAATCTTGAGGAGAACTCCACTTGCAACCAAAAAGGGAGCAAAAAGACTCCTAAACGAAGAGCCCATAAGGACAATAGTAATCAATAAGTGAGGAAGGGATTCACCATTTGCATAATAAAGATAGCACACATGAGGGGAGAGGCATATATGTGGCCTCTTTTTTTGAAGCATGTCACAGGTGTTCACCTTTCCAAGAAAAACATCCCAATATAGAGTTTGAATTTTGGGTGGAATGGGCTTACTCCAGATCTCTTTCATCGGGAAATCCTCTCCCCCCATAGTTGTTTGCATATGGGAGTTGAAAAAAGAATAACA